AGCCCGCATGGCTGGGTGGGGGATTCTGGGAGTTTGAGTTCAATCAACCTAAAAGGGCCCAAGTTGGACAACACTTTTTTAGACTGAGTCTTACTGAAGCTTAACTTAAAATATCTGCTGCTGCCCCTGGAAATATTTCCCCCCTCCCATACCCAATCTTGGCACATTTTGGTTCCTTTATCATTAGAGTTTTATAGTGTAAATGTGCCAACCTGCTTTTGCTCAGCTTCTTTCAGCTTCACCTTAAATTTCAGTCCCTTACAGAGCGAAATGTAAGGATTATTAAAACAATGTATTTAAAACCAGACTGCATACATACGGATTAGTATTTCCAAAACTTAAATCCTACCCTTCCCGGATAGCTTCTAATTTTTCTCATATTCTTCAAAGAAAAGTGACTGACAGTATCAAGGAATTTATACTTTATACGCTGCCCAATATATAAATTGTACACTGCTCAGAGTAACTTGCTGAAATGGGCAGCTATAGAAATCAAATAAAGAAACAAACTTACCCGGAAGAATGGAAGGCAATTTTCAGATCAGTCACACACACTTCATCTACCCCACAGTTCTTCTCAAAAGGAATCTGTTGTGTTTGATAAGAGTGCAAGATAGGAAATATTTACACCTGTCCAGTGTAATATCTTACCTTGCTGAAATTTACCAGATTGAAACCCATCTCTTAGTTCTCGCCCAGCCAACTTTAAACCAGTGGATCCCATCTATCCGCATCCTAGGAAATTCAGTTGTCTCTAGCTGCTGAAGTTCAGTTTCACTCAAAACAATGTAATTTCCTGGTTTCCTGCATTCCCAGTTCTTCTGCCACAAGCCACTAAACCACATCTGCCTTCCTGGCTAAATCTGTTATTCCCCCCACCCTCCAAAGAGGCTCTCACCTCCACCACTGTCCTATTGCTTAGGGGATTCAGAATAGGCCTGGGCGGTCCGTTCTTCAGCTCACCGTCTTCCTCAAGGGACAAGTTCACAAGGAGCTTGATGGCTGACAAGTAATCCTCAATGCAGTTCTGAAAGGCAATGGAGGGAGCTGCTGTATAACTCTTAAGCAAGGATTCTTGTACTGGTAACGTGGCTAGTAACCACCACGTTAGCAATATCCGAGACTGGCCGACCTTCTCAACAAGACGCTGGTGCCTTCCTTGTTACACCAAAGCATGGGAGGAAAAGAATCTAGGATCTAATAGCTTTCAACAATAGATTCCACATTTGAAAGGAAAGTCATTTGCTGGAATTCTTGTGCTCTCACTTTCTCCTTTCTCCTAATAAATCTTCTTTGTAGATCTATGACAGACCTTCCCTGGGGCTGGGGTATGTGTGGGTCCTCATAGCCGCCTCCACCTGTACCTTTGGCAACACCCAAGAAATGCCTGTATAAATAACTTCACCCCAAGTAAGAGGTTTAAGAATGAGAAGTTTTGATTTACCGTGATATTAATTTCCTCCAGTATGCACACCGACCCTAGAGAGATTTCTTTGTCCCCATTTATAACATTATTGCCATTCCTAAATTCTCCTCGGTACTTCACCCTGTCTGGGTCAATCTCCAGGTGAAACAAGAGTTTGGCAGAGAGATGTCCTGAGGAGGGAAGAAAAGGGTTTGTGTGTACAAGGCAGAGCAGAGACTCCACAAGCCCTCTGTCTCCTTTGGTGGCTACAAGAGCATCCTCTATACTGCAAGGAAACAGCAACCCTCTCCCCTGTGGCTTAATAAAACAGTGCAAAATCAGTACAGGAAGTCCTCGTTTAGCAACTGCCTTGTTTAGCGACCATTCGCAGTTATTACAGTGATGAAAAAGTAACTTTGTGACCAATCCTCACATTTATGAACTTCGCAAGTCAGTAAAGCAAAGGAAAGCTGAAGTAAGATTATAAGTACAGTCTTGGTTTCACTTAGCAACCACTTTGGTTAACAACCGAGTTGCTGGTTCCATTTGTGGTCGCTAAACAAGGGCTACCTGTACTTCATACCTTTGTAATGCTTTATGTACCTATCTTGTACATAAGATTCCCCCAACCATTTTTGTTTTTCTACGAAGTCTAAAGTGGCACTATTAATAAAACAGCACAGCACTTCACGTAGTCATTTTATCACAAGATCTTCCTTTATTGTTACTATTTATTTGACCAGAGGGCATTCTTACACCATTTAGTGAGAGCCACTTGGGTGTAATGGTTAAGGCACCAGACTAGAAACTGGGAGACTGGGATCTGAGTGACCCTGGGCTAGTCACTCTCTCTCAGCCCTAGGAAGAAGCCAGCAATGGCAAGCTAGTTCTGAAAAACCTTGCCAAGAAAACTGCAGGGACTAGTCCAGGCAGTCACCAGGAGTCAATGCTGACTCAAAAGCATACCCATACAAAAAAAAATTCCATGTAATGCAGGTCCTCTGCCGTGTTAATGAATAACTGCCTCCCTGCAACTTCATCCTGTTCTTGCTTTCCTTGCTGCCACATTCCAAATTATCTGATCCATTGACTGCCCTATAGGAACCAAGTTTGTTTGTTTGTTTGTTTGCTTATTTATTTATTTGTCAAATTTATGTGGCTGCCCATCTCCCGCAAAGTGACTCTTGGCAGCGTACAATAAAACCCACTATTAAAACCTACTACAAAGCCAATTCAAAACAATTAAAACAAGAAACATCAATGACAATTTTTAAAAAGTTCCAAGGAAAAGGAGGCTTTTCTCCCTTTTAGGTAATTAATGACACAATTGTGCAAACTGGAAAAAGTATTAGGAGGAATCATTAGGGAAAGCTTCCAAGGGGATTATCATAAGCAATGGGGGCAGATCATAAGGCCAACGCCGTTGCTGCATTGAACAGAAAACCATTTTAAAAAGGCAGAAATTCTCAGTGGAAGCAGTTCATGAAAGACACAGCTGAGTCCAAAGCCTTGGTAGTGCATTGCTAGCCCTACACCCCAATTCTGTATTAAGTGGGAAAAAAAACGCATGAGGAATATAGTAGGACACCAGCACAGAAAACACTCCAGTGTAACCGACTGGCCGTTTCTACACTGGGATTCTTTCTAAGGTTGGCAATTCCATAGGACAGCAGTAGAACAGAAGAA